AAAAAAAAAAAAGAAAGAAAGATGCCCTGAATGAGTTCAGATTCCATAGATGAAAGGAGGAGTACAGATGGGAGAAGCATCAGTTCCTGGTCTTCTAGAACCTAGAGGAGATGCTAAGATTGGAAAAGTAATAAAGATTGGAGCTGTATTTGACAATCTCAAGTCCTTTGGCAGTACAGGTGATTTATAAGTATCATCCATAGAGAGGAAAATACGCATGACACATATTGAAATAGATGTAACTGCTGAGGAACAGAATGTGAAGCAGCAAGAATGCTTTCTATATTTATGTAGCAAGTGGCCGAGCTGCTAGAGGGAGTGCCATTCATTCAGCTGACACCACTGAAGATAATTTGAAGATCCTCTAAATGCTGAGGATAAAAGATAAATGAGAACATTCCCTGTCCCAGTGAAGGAGTTGAGGAAGGTACAGAACTGGCAGATGATGTTTTGGGGGAAAAAAAGGCAAAGGCAAAGAAGTGTCCAGATTGTTGAGAAGATGTAGATTGAGTAAGAACAAAGTCTTTGGGCTTGGCACCGAGGCAACCTTGAGACTTCCCTGATTTATCTCAGGACAGTAGTTAGTGAAAGCTAGGTAGAAGGGCTTCAGTAAGGAGTCTTGGAGCTTGAGTCACAGAAGTATGTAATTAATAAGCTTAACTCTGTTTCTCCCTGAAGGGAAGGATACACACTGGGTATGTGTGTGGGGACTGCTTAGAAGAGAAATGGATTCCATGCCATGTTGTACCATATCTCCTAGCTTTTAACTTTATGTGGGACTGACTTCTGTATAGTTATATAACAATACAGTTGTACCATTTTGTATTCAGACTATTTTCATTCAAGATTGTAACATTATGTTTGTAAAGAATTTATTTTCAATTTGCAATCTATTAAAAATTAAAATAAAAAAAGATTGTATCATATGAAAAAAAAAACAAAACTGAACCAAACACATGCATTTGATATTTGCAAAGCACAACAAATCTCAATCAGGCTAAATAAAAACAAACTTCCACGTAGGCACACCATAGTAAAATCACATAACACAAAAGAGGCATCCAGAGAATATAATTCCTTACATCACATTCCTGCTGAAAAGCCAATCGTAGCTTGGCAACTCTAGATTTTTATCTAGTGACCATGCTCTACTTTTAAGAAATCAGAAACAGAATGGGTGGATAGAAATGTCTAGTCTCACTCTCAGTGGCATATCTGGAATGACTAAACTACTTTGGACATTTGATTTTAAAAGGGTATTGCATAATGGAAATTCAATACTGTTTATACAATACTATCTATGAAGAAACACATGATCCTGGTAGGTATGGAGTACAGGGTGTTACCCGGTAATACTTCCTTCTGGAGACACATGTTCCTTCCACCTGTTGGGGCACTAATCAAGAACAGCCAATCAGAACTACTCTGTGCTTTCAGCCTTGTGATTTCATTCTCAGAGAAGTTTCTTTCATATACCTGTGAAATAAAATCAAGCTCTACACTCCCTGGAATCCTGACACTCATATCACATAATATCTCAGAGCTGCTTCTGGAGCAGCTTTCAGGATCACTCAACTTCAGGGGAGTGAGAAGAGGTCCAACACTTTGAATATTGGGGTTTATGCTCCTTCCCAACATCGTTCTTGACATTTTATTATCAAGCAAGTGAGAACAACAAATAATTTGGTTTCATATTACTTTCACAAAGCAGTAAGAATCTATTTAGAAAATAAGGGGCTGGTGAGAGACAGTTCAGCAGTCTAAGCACATGCCTGGCAAGCACAAGGACCACATTTCAATCCCTACATGCAGGCCATACTGGCATGCCATACTGGCCCCAAAACCAGGAGTTCACACCTGTAATTCCAGCACTGGGGAGGCTAAGACAGGAAGATCACTATGAGTCTGAGCTGCATAGTGAGACCCTATATCAAATAAATAAAAATGTTTTTAAACAATTAGAAACTAAGAAGGTCCATTGCTAGCTTTTAAAAGACTTTAGACTCATACAAAATGAGAATTCTACCACATGAAACTACATGACCAAAGGTCACCTCTGAGCAGCCCTATTCAGAAGAGCTCTCCACATCTTTTTTTTTTTTTTTTAAGTAGAAGACTTTTCTTTCCTCCCCACCATCCACCTCCCAGCCCGTGATGTGTGCTCGGCAAGTGCCCTCAGTGCATCCTGGGCAGGTGCTCTACCACTGAGCTACACTCCCAGCCCCAGAAGACACGTTTGTTGGGCTTGACTAGAAGTACTTTACAATGAACAATGAGGCCTTCCCTGCTCCCTTTAAATGGTTAACCAGAGAATGAACCACCGAAGCATAAGAAGCTAAGAAGAATGCCAGACTATGGACCTCTAAGACCAATGATCTTTGAGTTGAGCCAGTGTGGAATTTCATGAGGATCAAGGCAGCCAGGAAGGGAGGGGAATGTGAGTCACTGCCTGTTATCTACTACACCAGACGTGCTCCAAAGCAAACTCCTCACCTCACTCAGCACAGGTAAAAGGTCTCATAAGGAAGAGGCTTGTGCTGTTCATAAGATAGCATACTTTCACTTTGTCTTATTTTTTAAAGTTCAACTGTTGAAGAATTTCATTTTTTTAAATATCACCTACAGGAAGAAAGAATAAATAAATTTAATCTGAATAGAGCAGTGTAACACTCCCAAATGAGCAGCCACATCTGCAAACTCCACCAGACCCTGACCATATGGTGGTGCTACCCCAAGGGTCTGATTTCTGGGACAGCAAGAGACACGCTCCTGCTTTTTCCTGATGGTTTGGCCTCACTCTGGGCTCACTGGCTCCTGAAAGGCATTCTGTGAGTGTCCTTGGCCTTCAGAACGTGTCTTTTGATGCTACAAATAGTACAGGGCTTCAACGTGGGGATGCAGGAGTCTTTCCAGATAGTAACTCCTCCAGAACAGGAGGGCTAACAGTCTGCCTGGTAACAGAACTTGTTGAATGGGCAAAGGGTTCTAGAAAATTCTGGTTTCATACAAACAATTCAAAATAAAATGCTCCTTAATGATGACAGTTTCACGCCAAATACTTGTCAACATATATGGATATAAACT